ACCCTATGTCTGTAAGGTATAAAACCACAATAATAATTTCAAGACGACATACAATACCCAAACCACAGCAATTTTTGGTCCTCTTAATAATTTAAGCTAGTCGTTTCCAGAAAACTCTCCTGCCACAATTTCTCAGCAGTTTTTCTCGACAGAGCAGTCGGCAAAAAGAAATGTAATTCAACCAATGTTCACAGTGACTTAAAAACTCTACTTGAAAATCATAGAACTTCGTCTGGAAGAATTTTGCAGAGCAATGATATGCTCCTAGTGGTCCATGGAAAAATTACAAATATCCCACAAGGAGTTAAATTTCACCTTCTTTTGTGTCTTTGTTGACAAAAGAGCGTGTTGACAATTTCTGTGAAGGAAAAACTAGTCACTAACCAATTTGTAAGCGCACTGGAGAGTGGTTCCCGCATAAGAACTGGTAAAATAAGATCAACATGATAACAAAATACATTAATGCCAAAAAACTGAACAAAATTTGTTTGCTCATCAAATCCACAATTCAAACCAAAAAATTGAGCACTAGTAATTGATAAAAAAAAGTAATAATTAATAACACTATGAAGTAATCTAAGCTAAAAAATCACACATCTAAACTTCTGATAGTCATTTCTTATTTGCCAGAAAAGAAAAACCTGCGTTATACAAGAAAAGATACGAAAAACCTTAATAATATGTTAGTAGCTGTATCCATTGATGGAAAAATAAAGTGCTACTGTGAAAAAGAAATATCATTTTAATGCCACGGCTGAAATTAATTAAGAAGTTCGACAGGAAATGAAACAAGCAGGTGAAAAAATGAGGTAGAATATAGAACAAATCGAATCAAATTTCTACTAAATGAAAAGCTGTATACAAACGTTCCAGAAGAAAAAAGTATATCCCGCTGCTTTTATACTGAAACCGTAAATATGACCAGATTTTCCTTGAAATTATCAGTAAATGTGAAAAGTGTAATACGAGGAAGGTGCAGAGAAAAAGCATACATAAAATCATATAATTTAAACTGGAATTTCCAGAAGGCACATTTCCAGATACCACGCTATGATTCCTCGCCGACCTCAAGTTTTGGACTGGACTTTTCTTCCTTAATGAACATCTGCAATGAACTGGGAGTAACATTCTCGGCAGCTAATACTTCTTGCTTGATATCACAAAGGAGCACTGCTTCCGGATGCTCGCTGGCTGCAATCATCATACTGGCCGCGGATGCTGCAGCTGCTGTGGAAAGTAAACTTAATGGATTATCAGGTTTCGGTGTTGACGGCGTACTCCGCGACGTATGTCCACGTTGAGGCCGTCGTCGATAGAATTCCGAATCATCCACTGTCCATACGGCACCCTTCACATTCTGCTCAACCCGTGCAAAACATTTATGTAACGATAAATTATGCCTCACTGCATTCTGTAAAATTTAAATTAATACTTGTGGAAATATCTCAGCTCCACTGTTTTTTTAACATTCTGAAGCAAACTATTATTATACTTCTTGCCTTTTTTTTTTCAACTTCATCTTCCAAGTAAAAAAAGAAAAGAAAAAAAAGCTGTTAATAGCTTAAAACGTAGATAGTGTTGTATTTTTCAGTAAAATTTGTGTAAGTCTGATTCTAACAAATCACCCAAATATTAATGAAACAATTTAATATTACCTATATATGGTATAATAGTGAACAACTGCTTCGATCTCATTTAATAACATTTTAGCTCATAACTACAAGATTTGAAGCTAAAATTCTTCAAATCAGAATTTCATGATATATGGTAAAAATGAACCATTACAGTATCACCTTCCAAGTTGCAGCGTTCCTCCGAAAATATGCAAACGTTTCTGTGAACCACTGATAAATTTCGTTAAGTGTTAACTGGCAATCCTTGGATTCCATAATGGCTTCGCGTATCAGAGATGCATACGTATATGGTGGACGTACATCATGTGTCCGATAAAATTCACGGTTTCGTGCTATATCGGTTGAAATATGTAAAACAACTTTGTCGTTGATTTTCCGCCGCGGTGTCGGAGTTGTACGATGATGATGCTGCTGGGACTGCTGTTGTTGTTGTTGTCGTTGTTGTTGTTGTTGTTGTTGTTGTTGTTGTTGTTGTTGTTGTTGTTGTTGTTGTTGTTGTTGTTGTTGTTGTTGTTGTGCTGCTGCTGCTGCTGCTGCTGCTGTTGTTGTTTTAAGGCATATTGAAGTTCGGTAATTTTTTCTGTCAATAAATTCATTTGTGTAATGAATTGATTTTGAGTACGATGCATCTCCCATAACGTTTCATGCATATCATTATGTAACTGAAATAAAATGAAATTAATTAGTAAATCATAAAAATGG